AGCCACTTCAGAATAACTACAGCATCCTCAACATGGTTCTGCTTTTGACATGTTTATTATTACCTTTCAGATTACATGTCAGCAACACAAGAAAGCCTAATAGAACAGCAAACAAATCTAGGATAGTGATTTTCAGTCGGGGGTGGGTGTTTCAAGTTTCAAGGGGAGGCATCAAGACATTATACCAACATTGTTTTCAGTTTCGTTTTCAACAAAATATTAACAGTCATTAAAAACCAAATAGCGATGCCAGCCTGATATGCAGTATGATTTTGTTGTACCTTGTCTAACCATAGAGAAAAATAGCAGATATCATCAAGTTAAATCAGCGTCAACCGTCACATATTTGTACACGAAAATATCAATTGTTGGTGAGTGTTTCTTTAACGTTTTTTAACACTCTGATTTATGTGGATAAGTTCTTGTAAATACTGCCTGGCATTTTTTGCTTTCTGAAATGTTGTTTCAATAAGGGTGGGGAGAAAGGGGTGGTGGTTGGGGGGTGAGGGCACCTGAAAAAGGTTGAAAACCACTGATCAAGGATATATAGAAATGAAATATATTATTCTCTTTCTTCAAACTCTTGTTATAGTCCACACTGAAAGACTTTGGTCTCCATGTCAATCCACAACCTTCTGTCTCACGTAAAAGAACTCTTTTCTTCAGGCGTTTTGGGCATATAGGGCTAGATCTATCTATTAAAGACCAATCAGAACTCAGTGGATGATGTGGTCAATATAAATCCGGTCGCCTTTACTTTCCAGAACTGTACCTGGTACCCATCTAAGGCTGAGTATACCTGGGAGCCAAGGTCATATTTGAAAACAGTGTGGCTCCATTAGGTCCTGAACCCATGACTTTCGGATCTGCAGGCAAGCATCTAGCCCCGACACCATGGTGGCTCCCTCTGTCTCATGTACTGCCGTTAATTTCTGGTGTAACTGTTGCCACATACCAGGGTGCCAGAACTTAACATCTCATCTTGGACACTCTTCCATCCGCTCACCACCCCTTTTCCAGCTAAAAATTTAACCGCCCTGAGATTACACAAATCTTCATCTGGATGGCAAGACAGCAAATCCCAGATACCTTGCTCAATCTCCAAATAAATTATAATCTGGGCCAATCCAGCCCCGTGTAACTTGCTGGCATGTGTCGGTAAGAATGCTTGCCAGACAGTACCATTATTGACACCCTCTGTCTTTCTTATCCTTAAATGCATTCTTAGGAGAGCTGCCGTTGTGACAAGAAGAGATCAAATCAGGAATGAAGAAATAAGAAGACTAGGACTGAAACGAGTCACATAATTCATTAAAGAACAAGTGAGATAATTTGAACACTTGTCGAGAATGTCTTGGTACCAACTGCTACATAGAGCCATGCTGAAGAAACATAATGAACATAGAGCACAGAGAAGACCACGCAAGACATGGAGCGACACCATCAGGAGCAACCTAACAGAAATGAACACCAACTTGTACAATGCATTGGAAAATGCGCACTAACGATCCTTACATCTCTCCCCCAACACCTTGCTGAGGTAAATGGCAGAGAAGAAAAAAAAAAAGAAGAAGAAATGCATTCTGCTCCCTGGGTAGGTGCCGGGTACTGTAGGAGGAAAAGAAAAGACCCACTGCCCCCAGCAAGCACGTTGTTAAGGTTGACTAATTAAGGGGCGTTTCCTTGAAAGTCAGACTACCTATGTATGAGAGGCAAGGAACCAACAGTCTGCATACAGTAAGCCAGATCTGTAAAACAGATGTGCTTGCAAAACAAGTATGAAAGAAGACTAACGGCCAGAAAAGGCCAAAAACTAGAATTTTCTGCCAGAATTTATATATCGTGAATGTGAAGAAGAAGAATTATTTCTGTGTCCCAACAAACTCCAGTTTCCCCTTTTCATACTGGACCCCACGACAAGATCGTTTTCTTCCTGTTTGGGTTCCAGGGTCCAATTTCTTTTGGGGGGAGGGGGGGGGGGGGGGGGGGGTGAAGACACCAATGCCCCCCTAATAAAAAGTTGCAAAAAGCAACTAATTAGGGTTTTCTCTTTTCCAGTCAGTGTGTATCTGCTGGTGAGACGAAGAACAAACAGTCTGCATACAAATAAACCAGATCTGTAAAATGGATATGCATGCAGAACTCCAGTTCTGGAATAAGACCTTCTTCTTCATTTGTCATATCACTGATTCGCGGTTGTAGCCCAGTGTCGTAGTTTATTTATCTTGCGCTTTTCTGGTGGCTTGGTTGGTGGATATCTTCATCTTTTTGCAGGTTTCAGCTACGCCATTTGTATAACTCTTTCTTGGTCTTCCCGTCACCTTCCTCCCAGATAATCTGCTGTAAAAAGTCTCATATGCCGTTTGGTCTGGCTGCATTCTCACTAGATGGCCGAACCATTTCATTCTTTGTCAATATAATGCAGACATGATCTTATTCCAATTTTCTCTCTAATGCTGGTATTCGTTACCCTATCCTTCTTGAGTTGTTAGGGATCTTATGAAGACAGCGCATTTCACACATATTTATTTTCTGTTCTAGTGCCCGATTCATTGTCCATGTTTGGCACTACCATAAAGTAAGGATGAAGCTGCTATTAATCATTTGCTGTTTTGCTGCAAGGAAGAACAGCTGGTGATCACCAAGAGGAAGAAAAAGAAGGTGTCTTGCTCTCTGCATCCATCTTTCCATTCTGAGTTATAATATTTACAAAAATTGGTGTTTTTCCCTCAACAGAAAAAAGCAAAAATTGACATACAGTTCCATACACTTGGTGTATTATATAGATAAATAACTGCAGTGCTCAACTCTTCAAAAATAACAATAAAAAAAAAACAGTAAACAGAAAGAGAAAAGTTTAAAACTAATAAGCATGAATATCATACGGTCATTGCTCTAAAGATAACATGTTTTTCATGTAAAACAACATATTACCATCCCTTTCTATTAAACATATGTTGTTCCTGCAAATTCTTCTCCTTTTTCGAGATCATCTGGTTTTTCATCCCCTTTTTGTTCCGGAACCCAAGTTTTACATGTACCCCGCTTTACAGATATAGCTTATTTGTGTGCATACTGTTGGTTTCTTGCCTCTCAGGCAGTTGCACTCTGACTTTTGAGGAAACACCCCTAATTAGTAGCCTATTATGACATGCTTGTTAGGGAAGGCCTTGGAACCCACACAGGGAGTTCCTGTAAATACATGACATCATTCCCTTAAAGTAAGCATCTGTTTGTAAACGCAGTATAAGACTGTTTCTTAAAGGTACATTATAGACTTCTCTTTCTCAACATATATTTGAAAACAACACCTCTGTGTATGCGATAAAGCCAGGAAAACAACATATCTAATGGAGTTTATAAACAACAATGCATACATTTTGTATATGCTGGAAATACCAACATGGTATTATTATTCTTCTTTTTCATCTTTGTTTACAGCTCTAAGCTCGGGCAGAAAGTCCTGGTTGTTCGTCCGTTTGGTTCTTTGAAGGAAGATCTCAGTTAGTCAACTCCTACAACATGCTTCTTGGCTAGACAGTGGGTTCTTGTTTTCCCCACAATCAGGCCCCACAGCCCTCACAGAGAAACATGGTATTCCATAGCTGTTCTAGATGCAGTGCAGACAACTTCAAATGTGACAAATCTCTGTTGTGAAAAACAATGTTTACCCTTAGCAATTTTTCTGCTTGAATTCTTATCTTGATAAGAGGAATTTCTGATAAGAAGAATCACTTCTTGGGTCCCCGGAGAGTTCTTCTTATCGGGTCTATAAGATATGCAGGAAAATTAGTTTCAGACTTATCAGCACAAAATGTATAGCCTCTACTGCGTGTTGCAAAGCAAAACCAACAACATATATATGTATCTGACTTCATAAACCACCACATATCTAAGCTTTAGATGCTGGCATTACCAACTAGGTCTTCCACAGATGTATCATACAGGAAAATTAGTTTTAAAATCTTTAACTGTCACAAAATGTTTTTCTTTGCTCACATATAATCTCTGAAAACTCAGAGAGAATCCAGTGATCTAACTAGTGACGATTATAGAACAGCCCATAATTTGCATCTAGATTCTAAACAACATAACTCCAATTGAGGCAGCGGTTCTCAACCTGCCGGCTGTGACCCTTTTTTTGGTCTAACAACCCTTTTACAGGGGTCGCCTAAGACCATAGGAAAACACATATTCATTGAAGTTATGAAAGAAAATAACTGTTTGGAAGTTGCCAGAGCATGAGGAAACTTTTATAAAGGGTTGCGGCATTAGGAAGGTGGACAGCGACTGAACTAAGGTATAACAAGAACATGAAAACAAAACACATTATTAATTTCAAAAAGTAGAAATAATGTAAAAGTTGATTTTATTTTCTCCATAAAACATTAGCTAAATATACATCATATGTTACTTCTACAGCCAGGGCTCAATGAGAACTTTCCAAAGATCTAGTGATATACTGTAAGTCTGTCTATTCTCCCTCCTTCCCTAAATGTAACCATGATATAGCAATATTTCTAAAACAGTTTCTATTGTCTGTTTGTTTTTTGTTTTATTAATTTTTAAATGTCTGCAACAAATTTTCAAATTCACAACTTAACTGACTACACTATTTCAGTTTAAAATTATAGAAATGAAAATGCCCAAATTTACAAAACTGGTCAAATCTAACTCTGAACTTATACTTTTAATGTTACAGGAAATGGTTTCAATATTATATAAATACAATCACCCAATGTTATGCACTCTACTTGACAAGGAATATCTTCTTGTGATGAATCTAGGTTTGCTGGGACTATCTGTAACTGTGAGTATATTTAATTAGCCACTGACTACAAAGCTGTTTTTTTTTTTTTTAAATAGTAAAATAATGACAAATCCCAACGTTCTAAACTTGAGACTTTCTACTGTCTCAAAGACAGACCCACATGTGACCGCTGTTTTCATGTTGTCCATATTGTTAGTTCAAACCTTGTTGCGTGTGTTAGCCGGCAAAGTTATTTCTGAGCCACTTTCTCCTTGTTGTAGCTCATCATCAACTTCTTGATCTCTCCGATGGCTCGGCCAGGGTTCAGACCCTACAAGTGCAAACGGGCAACATGAGAGTAACAAATGGCGCCTGCGCAGAACACGGGGACATAAATGGAATGATAACAATCATTAATGTTGAGTTTTGGGAGAGAACTAAACAAATTCCAGTAAAGCAAGAGGTGAGGAGAAAATGCTGGTGTTGGATAGGACATACATTGAGAAAAACCTGAAAACAATATAACTAGAAAGGCCTGACACTGGAATGCACAAAGGCATAGAAATAAAGATCAACCAATAACATAGGAAAAAAGGGAACCAGAGAGAAAAGATAAAAAGATAGGGAAGATATGACGTGAGCTGCATGCAATAACAAAGGATAGGACGGCTTGCTTTGAGTTGGTTGAGGGCCTATGCTCCACTGGGTGATAAAGGGCAGAGAAATAAAAAGAAACAGGAGGACACAGAATCACAAGATACAGTTGACTGGTTCTAAGAGCCCATCACACTTCACTATGGGACAGAAACAGTTACAGGAAGTGGACCCTCTATGGACAGAGTGGACATAATCAACGATGTATGATGGACAAGGTGCAAAGACCTAAAACATAAAGATGCTGATTTCTCTCTAACTCAGATGTGAAATCTAGGTAAACCAACTGAGGCAACATGACATTAAAAACATGCAAGAGCTCACAGTCACTGTATCAACCACCAGGATACATCAGCATAACTAAACACACGTGCTTAAGAGAAGATTGGATCACTTGTGAGTATGCAACAAAGATGATCCTGAAATAATCTTCTTCTTCTTCGCGATCACCAGCTGTAAATTCCGGCGGAAAGTTCTGGTTGTTCGTCCACTTCTGGACTGTAGTTCTGTTCCAGAATATGAGTGTTGCATGTGCATCCGTATTACACATGTGACTTATTTGTATGCACACTACTGGTTCCTTGCCTCTCAGACAGATGTAGTCCGACTTCGAAGGAAGATCCCAATTAGTCAACTCTTACGGCTTGCTTTTGGGGAGGGCAGTGGGTCTATTCTTGTTTTCCCTATTATAGGCCCCCGGAACCTATAAAAAACAATTAACAAGAAATACTTAAAACTAATCCAATGGCATTCAGGTGGCCTCTCAGTCTCAAAAAAAGAACTGGCATTTATCAGAGTGAAGCTGGTAGAGACTGTTCTCTCAGCCTGATACCAAAGTACCTTCTCCAGGAGGCTTAGCAGCAGAGTTTTCATTTCCATCCATGAACTCATTAGCATCTTCTTTTTCTGCTTTCAGCCTTAAAAGGACGGTTGACACACATAGTTTACAGCTAGGCTGTGATATCTGCGCCTTTCAGTCCAATGCATTCAATTTCAGCAAACCCCCCACTCAGTCACTTTTATGACATACTTGCCTTGGCAGCAGTGAGTTTACCTCCCCCCTCCCCAGACACACACAAAACAGGGCCACCGAACCTGCACAGAAGCCTAGAAACAAGTTTGGCACAGAAGACTGCCAGTTAAACTTCACACATGCCAAATGACACATGATAAATAACAAGTTGTCATGATTCAGCACTGTACAAACAGATATATCACGGTACAAAATAGATTTCTCACAGCAGATACAAACAGGCTAACATTAGTCCTAGGTTGGTAATATTTCCCCTACAGACTTAAGATCTCTCTCTCTCTCTCTCTCTGTCTCTCAAAAACAGTTCTTGCAGGTCATTCACTTATAAAAAATAACATATGTCCACTTGGAACTGCTGTGGTGTAGTGCTTAGACGCCTGCCCGCAAATCCAAACAGAGCCTGGCTTTTTGAAAAATGAGCTTGACTCCCAGGTGGACCCAGCCTTGCACTAGGTAGAGTCCTGGGAAGTAAAGGCTGCTGGCGTGATGTTGACATCTTCTTCTTCTTCACTTCCTCTTTTACCGCCGTGGGTGTCGAGGGAGATATAAGGTTCTGTTTCTAGCTCTTCTGGCTGCCTCGACCATAGGCACATCGTGCTGTTGTAGAGTTTCTCTGATGTTATCCTTCCATATTGTTCTTGGTCTACCCCGTGCTCTACGTCCTTCTTCTCTTTCCATGTATGCTTTGTATGGTATGGTGTCACAAGGCATTCTCTCTAAGTTGACATCACCCAATGAAATATGGGTCTTAACTAGAAGCCCAGTGTACTTGAAGGCCTGGAAGAGGGTCCTTCCCTTTATATTTCCTCTAGGCCATCAGTGATGTTGACTCTTTGAGTCCCAGGGGTTTAGCATCACAGGCCCAAGGGGTAGTCACAGGAGGCGTAAAATCGGCGCATCATGCGTTCAATGGGCCTCTAGGTAGAATCTATGAACATATGATGCGTTCCTTGAGACTCAAAAAGTTAGGAGTTATTTCCTTCTAAGTCATAGTGCATCTGCCTGAGAGGCAAGGATCCAACAGTCTGCATTCAAACTAAGCAAGATCCTTACAACAGATGTGCAGGCACAGCTCAAGACTTGATGTTCACACTGATACAATGTTATAAGCTTACTTTAGGACAGGTCTTGGTACAGTTCATGATTGTATGGCACCTGTACACAGAGTAGCCATCCTCCATCATCGCCAGGCGCTCCTCCGTGAAGTCATCCCTGGAGTCTATCATCCACCTGAAACATGTTTATACATGAGCATCTGAATATACACCATTCCTTGTAACACATTTATACAACAGTAGCCAAGTATAAACCATTCCTTGTAGCACATTTATACAACAGTAGCCAAGTATAAACCATTCATAGTAACACATTTATACAACAGTAGCCAAGTATAAACCATTCATAGTAACACATTTATACAACAGTAGCCAAGTATAAACCATTCCTTGTAGGACATTTATACAACAGTAGCCAAGTATAAACCATTCATAGTAACACATTTATACAACAGTAGCCAAGTATAAACCATTCCTTGTAGCACATTTATACAACAGTAGCCAAGTATAAACCATTCCTTGTAGCACATTTATACAACAGTAGCCAAGTATAAACCATTCATAGTAACACATTTATACAACAGTAGCCAAGTATAAACATTCCTTGTAGCACATTTATACAACAGTAAGCCAAGTATAAACCATTCCTTGTAGCACATTTATACAACAGTAGCCAAGTATAAAACCATTCCTTGTAGCACATTTATACAACAGTAGCCAAGTATAAACCATTCATAGTAAACACACATTTATACAACAGTAGCCAAAGTATAAACCATTCCTTGTAGCACATTTATACAACAGTAGCCAAGTATAAACCATTCCTTGTAGCACATTTATACAACAGTAGCCAAGTATAAACCATTCATAGTAACACATTTATACAACAGTAGCCAAGTATAAACCATTCCTTGTAGCACATTTATACAACAGTAGCCAAGTATAAACCATTCCTTGTAGCACATTTATACAACAGTAGCCAAGTATAAACCATTCCTTGTAGCACATTTATAAAACAGTAGCCAAGTATAAACCATTCATAGTAACACATTTATACAACAGTAGCCAAGTATAAACCATTCCTTGTAGCACATTTATACAACAGTAGCCAAGTATAAACCATTCCTTGTAGCACATTTATACAACAGTAGCCAAGTATAAACCATTCCTAGTAACACATTTATACAACAGTAGCCAAGTATAAACCATTCATAGTAACACATTTATACAACAGTAGCCAAGTATAAAGCATTCCTTGTAACACATTTATACAACAGTAAAGTGAAATAAAGGACCCTTTTCCATGTCTTGGGTATACAGGGTAAGACCTCTATTTTATAGACCAAACGGCACTTGGTGGGTGATGTGGTCAGCATCACGCCGACTGCCTTTACTTCCCAGGACTGTACCTGGTACCTACTCAAGGGTGGGTTGACCTGGAAGCCAAAGTCATTTGAAAAAAAAAAAAATTCCGGCTCCCGTCAGGAACCGAACCCGCAACCTTCTGATCCGTAGATGAGCATTTAGCCGCCAGACCACAGCGGCTCCCTTTATACAACAGTAGCCAAGTATAAACCATTGCAAGCAACATATTTGTACAACAGCACCTAAGTATAAAGCATTCCTTTAACATATTTATATGGCAGCAACCCAGTATAAATCAAATGTTTATATAACAGCAATCAAGTATAAATCATCCACTTATAAAATGTTTATAAAACAGCAACCAAGTAGGGGTAGGGTTCCAGCGAATTATAAGGCTGAGTTTTTTTAAAATACCAAATTTAGGGAAAAAATGTTTGTTTTGTTTTAATTTTTATGAAGCAAAAGGGGTTGAGCATTCCAATACAAGGTGACAGATAGAGCATTGCTCTTTTGATCCAGCAGCTTTTGCAGCGTACTTTATTTCAAATGTATCGTTGCTACCTTTCCTTAGTGGTAGTAAACAAGGCAGCCTGAGAAAGGGATCATGTAGCACACATGGTATCTACAATACAGCCCAGGCTTTGCCCTATGGAGAATAAACATGTTTAACACATGGCCCTGAAATCTTATGCTCTAATTGTGAAAGACTTTATTTTTATTGTCAAGGGCTGTGTGGCTATGGGACCACTGTAGGTGATGACAGTGAATGACCGACTAAAACTTAGATGACCACTTAGTGACTATGCGTTCAAGAGTCAACAGGAGTTTCCGACAAGGACATTGTGGCGACTGAGGACTTCAGTTGTCATTTGGGAGTTGACTGACCGCTGTTGGTTTCAGGCCGGGTTAGTGCCTGGAAGCAACTGGATGGCCAAAGTGTGTGAGTGGTGACTATGAAGCACTCCAACCGGTTGGAGTAGGGACTGCGAGCCACCTCTATAGTGAACTGTCGATCGCATTTTTGGAAATTATACTAAAGCCTGTGTATGCTCAGATGGTGTTGATTTAGTTGTGTTTGAGACAGACATCTCTGTCGTGGAGCTGTCAACAAGCTATTTGCCTTTGAGGTGGTAAGTAGCTCTCTGACACTTACCATGGGTGGGTCTTGCTAGTCATGCTCACCGTGGTCATGGGTCGTGATTCCCATGTCTCTCTCTATCAAAATATCACGCTATCTTCTGGACAAACACAAACTGCCAACTGTAAAGCCACATCTCCGAGGCAACAACTGATAACTCACAGCCATGTGTTAGTTCCAGCTAGTCATCCTCACCGTGGTCAAGAACTGTCTGCTGTAACACCCGGACAGAGATCAAGGACGTTGTACTTCTCTTTGGCAGGGGCGAGAAAGGAGTTCTAGTTGTTCATCCATTTCTGGATTTCAGACTTGTTTCAAAACATGAATTTTGTGTGCACCTGTTTCACAAATCTGGCTTATATCTATGCGGACTGTTGGTTCCTCACCTCTCAGGTAGATGCACTCTCATTTCAGACCTTGTTTCCTTCGAATTCGAGGAGTACATCTGCTCGTGTGCAAGGCATCCAACCTCACAAATCAAATAAGCCATCTGTAAAACAGATTGTTGCCAAGCTCAGGCTGGCACAAAGCCTCTGGACGAACAGGGATGATTTCCGAGGATGCAAATCTCACGGTGAACAAAGAAGACTTCAAAAGGAAACATCCGTAATTAGTTGACCCTTAAGACATGGTTGTTTGGGAAACGGGGGGTAGGGGGGGCATTGGGAGTTCGTCACCCGGTCACAGCGATGTCAGGTTTAAACTGCTAGAGAGTCCGCTATCCTGCCTATAAGTTTTAATGTGAGTGTGATCACTATCCTGTAAGTTAATGGATACCTACCTATAAGCTTGTTATGTGATGTAGATATACCTATAAGCTTGTATGTGATGTAGAACCTACCTATATATAAGCTTGTTATGTGATGTAAACCCAACCTATTAGCTTGTTATGTGTATGTACATACCTACCTTAAGCTTGTTATTGTATGTGCCCTGTAATACCTACCTATAAGCTTGTTATGTGATGTAAATACCTACCTATAAGCTTGTTATGTGATGTAGATACCTACCTATAAGCTTGTTATGTGATGTAGATACCTACCTATAAGCTTGTTATGTGATGTAGATACCTACCTATAAGCTTGTTATGTGATGTAGATACCTACCTATATGCTTGTTATGTGATGTAAACACCTACCTATACGCTTGCATGAGTACAGCTGGGCCAAGATATTTGTCAGAGTTCCACCAGTAGCTGGGGCAGGAGGTGCTGCAACAGGCACACAGGATACACTCGTACAGGCCATCCTGGGCAGGGAAAGATCTACATTACATACAGTGCAGTCAAGTACTTCACACATACTACATCAGGACACAAGAAGGGGTGCCAGAGCAGGCACAAAGGATTCACTCGTGCCAGCCATCTTGGGAAGGGATATATCAATATTATTATCCCCGTGTGGGTTCCGGGGCCCCATTGTGGGGAAAACAAGAATAGACCCACTGCCTCCCCAAAAGCATGTCGTAAGAGTTGACTAATTGGGGAGCTTCCTTTGAAGTCGGAGTGCATATGCCGGAGAGGCAAGGAACCAACAGTCTGTATTCAAGAGAATGAGATCTGTAAAACTGATGCACACGCAACACTCAGCTTCTGGAGCATGACTGCAGTTCAGTAGTGGACGAGCAACCTGAACCTTCCGCCAGAGTTTACAGATAGTGAACGCGAAGAAGAAGAAGAAGATATCAATATTACAGTGCAGTCAAGTTTTAATCCTACACACATACTACATCAAGACACAAGAAGGGTGCTATAGCAGGCACAAAGAATTCACATATGCCAGCCATCTTGGACAGGAAAAATCTACATTACAGTGCAGTAAAATTTCAAGACTTCACACATGTTAGGTCATTATATGAGGTCTACAACAGGCACAAAGGAAATGCTCCTACAGCCCATCCTAGGCCTCAAGCCTTCACACATACAAGGACAGAACTAATATTCAACTATGCTCACTCAGGGGTCACAGTTTTGAAAAGGGGCATCATCATGGGCCGGAGACTCGAGCCCCGGAGTAGAAAGATTAAAGGGAGAGAGAAGAAGAATTACAAAACAAAGCATGACAGTATAAACAGGCTTGACAGAAATGTGCAGACCACAATTTTCAGACTCGGAACAGGACACTGCAAACTCGGAGCACAACTATAAGGAACGGGTCTTGCCAGCTCTGCCTCATGTGCCTATGGCTCACCAAAGCAAACTCCAGAGCATGTCTTATAGGACTGCCCAGATTTTGCCAGTCACAGAGAAGAAATCTGGTCCAGAAAGTGTCCCTGTAAGACAAACTATGAGGCCAGATGAAGATCTCAAACACGCTGTCCTGTTTATGACCCGATTTGAATAGAGGCACAGAAAACACAGATCTCCGAAGAAGAACTACTGTGGGGTCATCAGTACATCAGACATATCAGGTCACGACATGATAAGGGTGCTCCTTCAGTCACACAGGATACGCTAATACAGGCCGTCCTGGGCAAAGAAATGAAAATATTACAACACAGTTTCCCTCGACACCTGAAGCAGTAAAAGAGGAAGTCTTCTTCTTCACATCCACCGGCTGTAAACCAGTGGAAAGTTCTGGTTGTTCATCCACCTCTAGATTCTAGTCTTGTTACAGAACCTGGGTGTTGTGTGCATATTCGTTTTACAGACCTGACTTATTTGAATGTATATTGTTGGTTCCTTACCCCTTCAGGCAGATTCACTCCGACTTTAAAGGAAGCTCCCAATTAGTCAATTCTTACGACATGCTTGCTGGGGAGGCAGTGGGTCTATTCTTGTTTTCCCCACATGGAGAAAAGAGGAAGTAAAGATAAGATAACATAGTCAATCCCAGAAAGGTGCTGACGTACAAGTGTCAAGTTACAGGCCTTCACACATTCTAGGTCATGACATAACCAGTGTGTTTTTAAAATTCTCTCATCATAATTTTTTCCAATCTGTGGTGGTACTTGGTATGACCAAAATATTTCAACTTCCGAGACACATTCCCTAGTCCACTCAATTGTAAACTGTGAAATTTGCTTGGAGGTGCCATTTCCACCTTCATGGAGTTTGGCTGCAGTAGAGATCTGCAGCTACCGCTGCCTCTGGCAATACAATGTGGTGAGACCCCACTCTCTTCCATGATGTGCCTCTTCTACCTCTGCCTGAAAACCACAACAAGTCTTTTCCTAGAACGAACGCCAAGGAAAATGAATCCTTGCAAACCTTAAACGTGATCCATAGCCTCTAACAATCAGGGTGGATGCTGTTTAAACATAGTTTCTAGGGAACTGAACCAGTCTCACATACCAGTTTGGCTCTGTCCTCCACTGACTGCAGATAAGACGTTTTGCCAATATCTGAATCTTTGACATCTTTCTTCTTCAGGTACGGCTCGATGGACTTGTACTGGGCGTAAAAGTTGTTCATGTCCTGGAAAAGAAACAGAAATTTAGCCAGACAAACAGCTTACCACAATGACATAACTATAATTAAACAGAGTGTATACATCAATTGAATATACTTCTCCTCTGCTTTCATCCTTAACAGGGAGGTTTAGTCTTCCCTTTAATGGAATAGTAAAAAAAAAAAAAGCAAAGGACCCTTTTCCACGCCTTTGGGCATATAGGGCTAGGAACTATATTTTTATAGACCAATCGGCAAAAGATGGGTGATGTGGTCAGCATCACGCCGGCCGCCTCTACTTCCCAGGACTGCACCCGGTGCCCACTCAAGGCTGGGTCGACCTGGGAGCCAAGGTCATTTTTTTTTAAAGTATGGCTCCGCCAGGGAGCGAACCCACAACCTTCCAATTTGCGGCGAGCATCTAGCCGCTCCGCCACGGGGACTTCCAATAGAATAGTGCAGCTGTTGTTTTTGTTGTAATGAGTTGCCATTTTGCACCTACAAATACTGACATCTGAAATTTGTAGCGTGCAAAATGTAGTGTTTCTGTTTTCATCATTCGCTGAGAACAAGATGTGGAGCATTACTTTCTGAATTCTCCTCCGTAATCACATAACAGTTATCAAGAGATGTTTTTCCATTTGAGTCTGGCAGAGTTCTCAATAGAAGCTTAACATATACATTGTTAATTCATGGTTTCAAAAACTCCATCATTGTTCTGCTGTGCCATTACACATAGGGCTCACAGGCTGTCCTGTGCAATCAAATCAATATCATGAATGGAATTCAGTCCAGCACCATTGGCCTCTCTGATCAACATTCATTTTAGGGTTTCTTTTGAGTGTCCTTTCTTCCTCAATCTTTTTATTTCCCATTTTAGTGCCTGTCTGGTGATTCTCTTCTCGTTTCTTCCCAGGAAGTGTCCGATATAGCGCCATCTTCCCTGTCTTATAACTGTTGTTACTAGTGGTTGCCCAGATATTTCTTCTATTGTTTACCAGCTGTAAACTCCCGTGGAAAAAACTGGATGTTCATCTACTTATGGACTTTAGTCCTGTTCCAGAACCTGAGTGTTGTGTGCACATTCATTTTACAGATCTGACTCATGTGTATGCAGACTGCTGGCTCCTTGCCTTTCAGACAGATGCACTCCGACTTCGAAGGCAGTTCCCAATCAGTCGACTCTTACTAAAACTTTTGGGTGGGCCGTGGGACTTTTCTTGCTTTCCCCATAATGGAGTCCCGGAACCCACACACAGGGAAACGCCCCGGAACCCAAACAGGGAAATACCCCTTTTAAATTCATCCAATTGTATTGAGAAGACACTTACAGGGACCAGATCCTTGACAACATACATGTGGGGAAGTGGATAGATCTTCACAGGCTTGCTTGGGCTGTCATTGATTTTGCTGTGGAAAAACAAACACCATCATTAAAAGTCCTTTCAACTGGCACGGGTGATCGTGACTCTTCCATTCCCCAATACTATACATCAATGTGAGTGAACTGTAGTGTAACAGCTGCAAACATGCTTGTAACTCAGAGGTTCTGGGTTTGATCCCAGCTGCAGACCAAATCTGGTAGCAGACTGTTGTGTGGTATCAACTGCTGATATTTCAGAAAGCTACCAAACATAAAATTACCTAATAAAGTCATTAACAGCCAAAAAATGCATAGGATAGGCAACTAACTTTCTACATCAACTCAAGAAACATACTTGCATTCCATGATGATGAGAATGATATGATCAAAGTTTATCTTATGTCTTTCACGTCAATCAAGGATTCAAAACAGAAATTACTATTTAAAAACACAAGATTGTTCCCTCAGAAACTAAGATTAGTATTGTTCACCTTGTGTACCGATAAATGATTTTCTTTTCATCTTGTTTACAAACAAATGTTAGGAGAACAGATATTTCTGCACTCTGTAAATCTGCATGTGCTCAGTCTCCCTCAAAAGACCCACAGATCAGAAAGCTACATACCATAAAAAAATAATGTCAAGTAACTTACTACAAACAAGCCAGAGTGTTTGTCCCATCGATGTTCATGGCACAAGAGCCACAGATGCCCTCGCGGCATGACCTTCTAAACGTCAATGTTTGGTCAATCTCATTTTTAATCTTGATGAGCCCATCCAAGACCATTGGGCCACACCTGAAAATGTATGGAAGAATCAAAACTGCAGAACTTTTACAACATCAGTATTTGTGACAGAACTCTAGTGATACTTTCAAAAATTATCTCCCTTTTTAGAACTCTCTCTCTCAGTGGCAAGGTGCGCATGTAACAGACGCTTACACTTTCCATTACACAAGAAAAAAGCATTATTTTACTATTTATTATTACTGTTTACTACTTACTACAAATATGCCACTGGCCTTATATCTTGTACACAGCGAAAAGAAAGACTGCTGCCTGGTTACACAGGAAGTGTAACATGTTATTAGTACAATGATGCTAGCTGTGCATGCATACTCTTAGCAAAGCAACAAGGAGGAAAATACTCCTGGCGATTACACATGTGAACTGATCATACCTCACCACAGCTCTCTCTATCTCTCTCACACATGTACAAATCACAAACACACATGAGAAACAGAGAAAATGACATCTATTCAACAAGAAATTTGCTGGCTCCTCAAAATTGGACAAAATCAACAATGCAGAAGCACAATGGTTCCATTTACAGTCATCAGCCATTTTTTTTAAAGCTGAAAAAATGGCAACAAAGAATTTCAAAATCGCTCATGTAGATCTCTGAGAAATAACTAAACAAATTCCAGCCATGAGGAAAAGATGCTGGCATTGGATAGAACATCTGCTGAGAAAACCTGAGAACAATACAAAATGAATGTCTTTACACTGAAACCCACAGGAACACAGAAATAAAGACAGACCATGAAACACATGGAGAAGGCAGCAGGAGAGTGAATTTAAAAAGATAGGGAAGACACAATATGATCTGCATGGGATAGCAAAGGGCAGAATAATTTGGCATTAGCTGGTTGAGGGCCTATGCTCCATTGGGAAAGAAAGAGCAGAATGAGAAGAAATTCAGAGAGAGGAAAAAGACTTGAAACAACAGCAAACAGAAACGGAGGAGAAATTAAAAAAATGCACAACTCACTCATTAAGGTCGACACTGTAAGTCTGTATCTTGGGCTTGTCTCCAGGTTTCTCCGGGTTCTGAAAAGATTTTTTTTTTTCAATTAAGCTTTCAGGTCAACCAAGCTGAATTGTTGCTTAAAAACACTCAAATGCGTAACTTTGACCATTTTGCCCCGTAAAAAAATTTAAAAAAACCTCTTTCCGAATTTTATTAAATATTAATGCCGCCTCATAATTAACTGACACCCTAAGAAGCTAGAGAAAAAGAACAGGCTGAGTTGAGTCAAGAATTGACATCACAGCACTTAGGGCATTCCCATATATGCTCCGTCCTCATCATCAGCAGCCAGCGCAGAGTTCCAATACTGATGGTACTGGTCACAATCTGGTTATGTGTCCGTCTTGCCTTTCCTCTGAGTGTAGTGAGCCGGCCAGACCCTCTGGTTACACGCAGGGGCCTCATTCTCTCCAGGCAGAAAGAGAACAAGAGGCAGAACAAATCTAGCCATGGGCAGTTTTCATAAACATCCATGGAACTGAATCCCTAGACCACCGAGGAGACAGACTACTGTGAAATCCACAGATACACCATTGTTGCATAATCACTAAAATAATTCATACTAATTATTATTAATATTATTTGTGTGCAAAAAACTCTTCGCATTTACTAGCTGTAAAACTCTGGTGGAAAGTTCTGGTTGTTCGTCCACTTCTGGACTGTAGACCTGTTCCAGAACCTGAGTGTTGCATGCGCATCCATTTTACAGACCTGACTCATTTGTATGCAGACTGTTCCTTGCCTCTCAGACAGATGCACTCTGACTTTGAATGAAGCTCCCAATTAGTCAACGCTTACGACATGCTTTTGGGTAGGCAGTAGGTCTGTTCTTGTTTTCCACATATTTGGGCCCCGGAACCCACACGGGGAAAGTGCAAAAACTAACTTTTAAGCAAGGAAAGTGATCATGAAATACAAATAAATAATTAATTGCTTTTTTGTCCCCTCCGACCATGACAAACAGGTTCTGTTGACTTGGCCATGGAAAGCAAAGTTACATCATATGAGACTATTATGATATAACAATTTGTTAAAATTTTATTTTGTTTAAAAACATTTAACACAAGTTTTGCATTTGAGGTACATTTAGTCATACCTAGCCAAACAATTTTTTGAGGCCTCAGAGATATGGTTCTGAAAAGAATAGTTAGAATTTCTTGGATAGCCCCAGCCCCCTTCCCCCCTCCAAAAAAAAAAAGTTTTGAAAGAGGAGAAGGCTTGAAGACAACTTACTACTAACATCAGAGACAGTCCTCATTTTTTGGTCATATTATGAGAAGAGAAAAACTGGAACAAGCTGAGATCACTGGAAAGATGTATGGAAAAAAAGACAAGAGGAAGACAATGAGAGAAGATTCATGACAGCATTTCGTTATGGCATGGAAGGGTGTTAACACATACATTGATTCATCCAGGCTTGGGACTGGTAATTGTGAAGAGAGATAAGTGATTATTACAATTTTTCTACAAAAACACTTAAAGTATCTTAATCAATACTTCTGCAATATGTTACAACTAATACAGTATTAATTTGCCAAATGTAACAAGCATAAATATCTAATTTCAAAAATGAAAAAAAAATATATGTATATATAATAATAAACCAAAGGGTTGAAAAGGGTATGGATGATTAAATCGTTCAGACAGCTGTTTTATGAACCAACTTTCCTGTAATGGTTAACTAGAACCCAGACAGTTGTCACTAATGCTAATGCTGTCCCTAGTAACTGTTACATTTTTTTTACCTCTTCTTCTTCTCAAAGTCCATGCTGTGTGGCACTGGTAGTCGTGTCTACCCACAACCTTCTGTCTCGTGTACTTTCAATCAACACTAACATAGATGATCTTCCATGCCATGATGTCAAAATGTTCAACATCTGTTCTCTTTGTTTTCCTCTGCCTCTCTGTTGTACACTTAATTTGTTGTACACTTAGTTGTAGTACACTGTAATTTCGAGAACCAAGTATTTAGGCCTAGGGTGCCTATTCTAGTACTCCGCTGGATATCTCCTTGAGGATGTGCTTTCGATGTAGTCTTCATACTATAACTGGCACAGCATCATCTAACCAGTTGTTATCTTTACGAGTCAACAATAACGCTTGTGACAGGCCACATAAACTTTAATGGCATTAATGTAACGTCACAAGATGATGAATGCAATAAAACATACGATAATGACTCTCTATTATCTACTCTGAGAATTAAAAGAATTACACTCTTTTCTCAATGACTCCTGCCATTATAATACATAAACAATAGACATTAAAACAAGTCTCCGGGTAAGTACGGTTAATCAAACTTCACAAAAGTAACGTCCTATTTGGACAAGGAAATATCTTGACTGCCGAATCCTTTGTGTTGCTGGAGGAGCCTGCAGTGTTTGAATCGCCCAGCATTCAATTAGCTGTATCCCAGGTAAACAACCCGTACCCGTGGCCGCTGTGTAAACTTTTCACCTGCGCTGTGACCACTAGAAGAAACTTTAACTCTTGGACAATAAGATTACAACACTCTCCTCACCTTCAACTTTCCTAACGTCACAATGTACTCCAGTTTTCTCCTTCTCATTACATGACCAAAGAATATAGATTGTCTCTTTCTGGGCAATAGGTTCTCTACATGAGTCAGTTTCTTTCAAGATGTCTTCATTACTGTAACTGTTACATTTGTTTTTACCTCTTACCTAAGTGTAACATCATGGGGCACAGACAGACAGAGAGTTAAAAAAAGTATATAATTTAAGGGGCAAGCAATGAATGCCTGGTGCATTTCCTGATACAGAAAGAGTTGAATTACTACTTATACTTTTGATTGATGATATCAATAAAGAAACACGACAGACAAACAAGAAAGGAAAAATACCCATCTGTAGATCTCAAATTTCTTTAAATTTGTTTGCTTTTGTGTTGCTGGAGCTGCTGCAGTTTGAGCAGTTCTCACCTGTAAACAAAACACCAGGTAAAAAGATTAAGATGTGTCAGTGTTAGCAATACTTAATTTAAATAGAGCCGAAACATGCCTGTCAATATGGTTTGGTAAATTTATTCATCAATCATCAGATCCTTCATAGAATATCGCTCATCATCATGGCACACACCTGAATCTCTCTAGATCTGTAGCCATTTCTCCAGTCCTGAATCTCTCTCTCTCTAGCCATTTCTCCAGTCCTGAATCTCTCTAGATCTGTAGCCATTTCTCCAGTCCTGAATCTCTCTCTCTCTCTCTCTCTAGCCATTTCTCCAGTTCTATGTACTTTGATAGCCAATGCATCTTTAATGTCCTGTATTCACCTTTGCTGAGGTCTATCTCTGCCTCTATTTTCTGGAAACTGTATATTCAATATACAACACTTGTGAAATTTCCAAATGCCACTAGGTTCTCTGAAGCTTAACCCACTGGTATCTGGAAAGTTTAACCCACTGATTCTTGGAAAGCTTAACCCACTGGTACTTGGAAAGCTTTACCCACTGGTACTTTGAAAGCTTTACCCACTGGTACTTTGAAAGCTTTACCCACTGGTACTTTGAAAGCTTTACCCACTGGTACTTTGAAAGCTTTAACACACTAGTTCTATGAGAACTAAACCCTTAGGTAGTGGGAGAACTAAAAACTCTGGTATTGGGACAGTTAAAGTAAACACTGTCATACTGAGAGAGTTACAACAGTCTGCTAAACACATTAAATTAATTAATTTATTTAAAAAATCACCCATTGATTTAACACTAAATTCAAAGCTAAAAAGAGCCTGTTGGACAGTTGTAAACATCAAAGATGTGTGAAAATAATTAGAATAATTTCAGATGTGGAATAAACAGTACATTAATATTTTTATGCAAGTAGCTCGTCGGTCATATCATGCAAGACTCACATTTAGATGCGGAGCTGGTGTGGTTATGTAACATGTATACAGCTGAGAAAACTAAAACTAACTAATAAAAAACACACGACCTTCAATGACAAGGGGCAACTTTTTACTTAACCATTGCCCATCTAGCAATCTGTAAGCTGTGTTATAACTGCCTCATCCAACACGAAAAAAATGGCGTAAAAGTCTGAGGGGAAAACATCTGTAACTAGAAGGGAAAATGAAGGAAATAAATCAATTTTAAATATCCGGGATTTCTTTTCAGAAGTCATGATTATGTAACATTGTAACGTAGGAACTTACAGTACACAACTGGTTGGTGTCAAATATTTATACCCCTTAACTGTGAAAGTTGCCGGGGGACTAAGCACTTCTGGCAGAATGCAGAAGGGTTAAATATAAGTACAGCACGATAACAAAAACTAGACATTACTTGAGCTAGTTGAACTAGAAGAGCTCTAGTCGCTGGCGAAAATTTCATCACAGCCTTGCTCGCCATCTTGACGTCGCACAGGTCACGACCTTCACCCGAAGATGCATTGCCGGTGCATTATAAAATGGTGGTGTAAACAAAGTTAGTCTTTTTTTCTTATCTGCAGTTATACACTTTTTTTTTTTTTTTTTTGTAAACCTTCATAACTGTATAATTATTTCACATATTTTTTTTTTTTTTATAATAGTCAGATTTATATGTCAGACATTTTCAGGTTACTAGTTAGAAGGGCATGACTAATAACAGAGCGAGACGGCAGATCGAACTCAAGCTGAAGCAAGTCTGGTCTTGAAAACAGGCGGACAGAATGGCTGGCTGTGCACAGCTTGAATACTGATGCATGATATGATAAGGCAGACGTGGTTAGTGCCTTGTGGGAGAGCTTGTAGTACAAGTTGTACAGTTAGGAGGAGCAGATTTATTACCACAGTCTGGTGAGATTGATGCAGTTCTGGGTGACGAGAGGTTTGCAGATGCTCGGGGCTCAGAGGAAATGAAAGACAAGACGGACGTTTAATCAGAATGCTACTGGCACCATTAGTAGCGGAACTCCTCGCTGGCTGCTGAATATGGGGACGGAGCGCTTATGGGAATGTCCCGAGTGTTGTGATGTCGGTTCTTGAATAAAATCACACAGTGAGTATTGTGTTACAGTGAAACTTAATTTGAACGGTACAGTAAAAGCAGAATGAAATTTAAAGCAATAAACTATTATGATGTTTTTGTGCACAGTCAAATCAAGAATCGAAGACACGTGCATTATCATAAAGTATTATTCATTGAATGACACGCTCGTGCCTAACAGACTAAAGAAAAGCTAATTTCACTGATAAGACAATGACCATATATTCTCATTGAAAGACTACTAAATTTTGACAGACTCTGTAAGTTGTGTGTTGCCACCTTAGACTGACACGCAATAATAATTTACCCTCTGTAACTTGACCAGCCAGTCGTATTGAACAGCAGCCTTAAGGACTTCTTCATTTTTTTATACTCTACATACTTTCTATTGTTGTATTTTCCTTACATTTCAGCAACATTATTTGTTTCCCAGCTTGTGAGCTTCCTGTCTGTATTTTACATATAGGTCAATCAGGTATCATCTCCACATCGAAGGTTGCCTGCAGTCGTTTTCCAACAAGCTTATGGCTCTGTTGTACACTCTCTCAGACTACTGTTTGTCCATGTCTTGATGTTGTATTCCCACTTACATTGTTGTCTGCCTCTTGTCCTGGACTTTTCCCTCCAGTGTGGTTTTTAAAAGTGTTATGTCTTTTAATGTGGCCAAAATATAATTAATTTGTCTTTTGTAATTCCTTGAGTAACTCTTATTTTCATTCATAGTCTCTACATATATACTAAATGCTACAATTAAGATGTGGTATAGTCACAGTGATTTCAACTGCCATTCTTTTACAGCAGATGACAATTTCCCAATTACTAGATTTGTTTTCCATATAGCAAAGGATAGGTGATTCTTGTCCTAACCACCAGTTGCTTAGTTTTCAAACTTACCTTTCTTAGCTGTTTCAGTACCAAAGAACTGTAACTGTTACTTTAACTCCTTATATCTTCAATAGTTAAGCCTAAAAACAAAGGAACCAACGGAACGAGGAACCAACACATAAACTAGATCTGTAAAACCGATGTGCACACAAAACCCCTGGAACAAGACCAAAGTCCAGAAGTAGATGAACAACCAGATCTTCCTGCCAGAAATTTACAGCCAGTGAATGTCAAGAACCATTACTTACTTTAACTTTTGTTTGTGCTGAATTTCAGATTCCTGCTTTTTTTCATATGCAGCTTGTAGACGTTTCTGTCATCACAAAATAAACTCATGACATTGGTGAGGAGGATGAAGTCGACTGCATCAGCCTTTGATCGTTTGAGAAATCAAGGTCATGTCAAGTCCGCAGCTGGTCAACAGCCAGATAGTACCAAGCAAGATGACGACCCATCAACAAAACTCAGAACACGTATGCAGACGCTTGAAAGCAAAGGTGTTATTTTACACGAAGTGACAAATGTGAACAACAACAAGACTGCTGAACTGACTTCTGTTAGACGCCATGTTTTAAACCAGGGTGAGGTGGTTGATGATGCTGCACACGCTCAGCATAAAGTTCCTGTGCCCCTGGCTTGGAGTCCCGGCATGACATTCAAATCAAACCCTTTGTTAATGATCACACCCGAGAAACTACCTTTCTCTGCAAATGAGAATTTCCTGTCAACAAAAGAGAACATTCTAGAGCCTCAGAGTGCAAATAAAATCCCCAAACCTACAGCATGGAGTCCAGGAATGAAAATTCAGCCAGATCCAAATCTTTTTATAACACCAGAAAAGACTGTCGGCAAGAAAATAATTGCCAGTGTCAGTGACAGCCGACAGACAACTGACACTGTCAGTAGCAGTATTCAGAACATTCCAGCGAAAGTCAAGAATTCATACTCTGTAAGATTTGACCTTCCGTCTTCTACTTCAGAAGATGAAAGTAAAGACCCACTATCGGAGACTGATTCTCCGATCACTATACGAGGACGTGACCTAGATGTACAAGGCCAAAGCTTTGAGAGTCCTGAGGGGAAATCATTTAGTTTTCAAAAGACTTATAATCCTGGCATATATTCAGACGAGTCATCGCTAGATGAATCTATTTTAAACTCTCGACTAAATTGTAGTTTTGATAAAAGTTACAAAAAGCAAACAAGTTTAGGTGTAACAAAATCACTTTGTGATAATTCTAATGTCCCGGCAAATGTTAGTTCAGTCTTGCCAAATTGCACATCAGATCAAAATAAGAGTCCTAGCAGTGAGGCAAAACCATGTAAATCTACAGAGAACTTTCCTAAAACTGGAAACATGAATGCACATTTATCAGTTTCAAGCACCTGGCCACAGAGAATTAACCCAAAATTAAAAAGTGCTAAAAATACTAGATCTAAAGACCTACATGACAGGAAAAAACTGCCAGTTGGTGACAAGTTTATTGCAAAAGCAGATCACATGAAATCACAGTTGTCGACTGAGTTAGCTCCTGAAGGTTCTGTGGTGATCAGAGAGATGCAGAGTCATCAGCTATCAACAAAGTACTCATTTCCATTTGAGCTAACGGCAACAGCGGACGATTGTGAATATGAACATGTCTTTGCAAGACCAGAGTTCAACTCCACCCTGGCAATTCGAGAACGGCTGGACAACTTACAGGACCAGGAAGTGGATGTGATGAAAGCTGTACAAGACACCCTAGCCAAGTCAGAGGTCAAGAGGTCAGAGTTGAATGAAAAGGTAACCATTACCTATCTGTATTCTTGTTTATAGTGTGTTGAAGTACCTCAAAATCACAATCCTCAGATCATCATATAAGGGGAAAAGTGTTTTTCAACCCCTCTGTGCCGCAGGCTCAGGGGTAAATTACGTCTTTTTTCCCAGGATTAACACCCACGATAAAAATCCATGCAGCCCACGCAGATAAAATTACGATAAAACGCCTTAGGTTCAAAACTCCCAAATCATGTAAACTCTGTCTTAATTAACAATCATAAAACAGGTTCAAATCCCAGAAACTCTGTTAACCACATAAAACAGTTGTTAAAAACCAAACAGAAATTGAATGCATGTTATTGCTGCTCTTTGTCTATCAGAAACAACATTCCAGCCACATGTATCTGATTATCTAACATTTAAGCAGCAGTAGATTAACTGATAATTGTAATTTTGTGACATTAGATTTAACAAACAAACTGCTATCTCCACCTATTTTTGTTTCATATTTGGTAGCTGTCTGATGGGCCTGAAGAAAATGACCTTGGCTCCCAGGTCGGCCCAGCCTTGAGTGGGTACCGGGTGAGTTTCGGGAAGTAGAGGCGGTCGGCGTGACGCTGACCACATCACCCATCTTGTGGTGGTCAGTCCCAGGAAGGTAAAGGGGCCCTTTACTTTTACCGGTAATTCATGCCTTGACCACGGCCCAGCCTTAACACCACAATCGAGTAAAAGTGATGTTGTCTGTAAAATACAGGTCTAGCCAAATATGCTGAAAACATCTGAGGGCGTGGAAAAAGGTACTTTATTTTTTGCTTGCTTACTTTATTTAAATATTTTGAAATATTTAAAGGCTGCAGTTTACACAAACCGCCTGTCGGGTCAGTTCAAGAATCTGGTGGATTTGAATACATCCGTGGAAAGTCTGTGTGACCGAATCGTGCGCATGAGAACAAGCAAAGTGCCCTGCAAAAGAAGAGCCGCTAACACAGAAAAGGTAAAAATTTACGTGTTCTTGTGTAGCTTTGTTTCCACTGAGATTTAGTTATGTCATTTGATCTTATTCTTCACATTCTCCAGCTGTAAACTCCCATGGAAAGTTCTGGTTGTTTGTCCACCTCTGGACTTTCGTCTTGTTTCAGAACCTGATTGCTGCGTGCACATCTGTTTTACAGATCAGACTTATGTGTGTGTAGGTTGTTGGTTCCTTGCCTCGCAGGTAGCACTTCAAAAGCAGCTCCAGTTATTCGACTCTTATGACATGTTTATGACAGGTTTGTTGGGAAGGTAATGGGTCTGTTTTTTTTTTTTCCCATAATGGGACCCCGAAACCCACACAAGCTGTGTCCATTTATATTTTGTTTATGTGTAGTTAGTAATTCTTTGGTTCAGTTTTTATTTCTTATTCTTCTTTTAGAAATGTCAATTTATATTTTGTTTGTGTGTAGTTACTAATTCTGTGGTTGATTTTATATTTATTTTGCGTACACCTTAAAAAAACAGTTGGCACATTGTGTTGTGTTTCACAGCTAGGCTGTGATTTCTGCTCGTTTTGGTCCAGCACATCCAATTTCAACAAATCCTTTCACCAGTCAGCTTCTGTGACATGTTTGTTAAAGATCAGTGTGTCTATTTTCCCCCTCCCCAAATGGGCACCCAGAAGTCACATGGGGTGGGGGGAACGTTCTTCTAAGTCAAGGGATATATCTTCCTCCTCTTCATGCTCCCCGGTTGTAAACTTCAGAAAGTTATGGTTGTTTGTCCACCTCCGGACTTTAGTCTGTTTCAAAGATCTGGCTTTTTATTATGCAGACTCTTGGTTCCTTGCCTTTCGTGCATATATACTCTGACTTCGAAGGAAACCCCCAATAAGTCAACTTTTATGACATACTTGGGGGTTCTGCAATTTTACCAGTGCTCTTCAATGTGTTTACACACAGGATTGCAGAACTTGAAGCACCAGGTGTTAGAAGGTTATTGACCTTTGCAGATTATGTTGTTGCATATAGGCAGGGGAGTGATAGGCAATGGATGCCCAAGAGTTACAGGCAACTGTAGACAAAGTGACTGGTGTGCTGAAGTAGGTGCTATCAACTCAGAAAAGGCGGCTGTTTTGTGGTGCTATCTGGGCAATAAAATTATAAGAGCTGATGTTCCAAGCCTCACAATTAATAACAGTAACATCAAAAGAAAAAGCAAACTGAGGTGCCTGTGTAGAATTTTTGAAAGAAACCCGTCCTTTAGAGACCTTTTGGAGGCAGTTGCAGTGAAGTGCCAAAAAAGACTCAATGCTCTCAAGATTATGGCAGCAATGGCTGGCTTGAGATTCAACTGTACACACATGCCATGATTGTAACTGACTCACAGAGCATGGTGAGAAAGGTGGAGACAGGCATGCTCCGTGCAGAGTGGCAAACATCACTTCAGAGGTCCCGGATCGTTGGCGTCCTTTGGATATTTTCTCCAGGTATGCCAGAGTGTTGGGAAATGAGCACATAGATATATTGACCAGTGCTGCACCACTTGGTGCTGAATTGATGTATGACAAGCTAGATGTTGTGAGGGCCCTTTTGGAGCAAGTGAACAGTGCGGAGGCACAAATACATCATTACGGTTTGAGGAGAAGGCCGCTGCGGTGAGTTACCAGGGGATCTGGCTGACGTTCAACACTAACGGAAAGGGGGAGACTGCTATACAATCAGACAGTTACTGGTACCATCAGAATTGGAACTCTTTGCTTGCTGCTGAAGATGGGGACGGAGCGCTTATGGGAGTGTCCAGAGTGCTGTGATGTTGATTCATAATTCAAGATTCAGCATGTACAACAAACATTTTGGGGCTTTGTATGATAAAGCTGGCCATCAGATCCATCATAAGGATCCAGGTTAGAGGGGATGTTTCCCCTAATGTATTTTTTTTTTAAAATAAGGCATGTTTTTAGCTTACTGTAAACTTGACCATGCAAGTACAATCTGTGATTCCTAAGGAGTCCATATTATAGGGAAAACAAGAATAGACCCACTGCCTACTCAAAAGCATGTCGTAAGATTCAATTAATTGGTAGCTTCCTTTGAAGTCGGAGTGCATCTGCCTGAGAGGCAAGGAACCAGCAGTCTGCATACAAATGAGTCAGATCTGTAAAACGGATGCACACGCAGCACTCAGGTTCTGGAACAGGACTGCAGTTCTGAAGTGGATGAACAAGCAGAACTTTCCGCCAGAGTTTACAACTGGTGAACATGAAGAAGAAGATATACGGACACACCCACACATTTACTCACGTAATATTATTTTTAAATGTTAAATATTTTGTCGCAGAAATTCAGCGAGTCTCAGAGAGCGCCAGACCTGATGGAGTTTTTTACCTCAGATCTGCAAAAGGAATATCCAGACGTGACCTTGCCAAGTGTCACTGAGGTGACCTCGCAGCTGATGACCTCCCCACCTGAGACCACCTTTGACCTTTATCGACACAACCGTCTGTGGCAAGGCATCAGTGACTTCTGATTTATGACACCTGCGTGTCCTGAGGGCTGTGGAAAAATTGCACTTAATGTGCAGTATATAGTGTTGCGGTCTAAACACTGATCCGCAACCTTTCGAGTGAGGCAAGACTTTATCCACATCTCCACAAAGACTGCCCCTCCTTTGTGAGCAAAGAACTGCTAAAACAAAAACTCCTCTTCTTTTTCCTATTCCTTGCTTTTCCCTGCTGTAAATTCCAGGGGAAAGCTTTGATTGTTCATCTACGTCTGGACTTTAGTCTTGTTCCAGAATTTGAATTTTGCATGTATATACATTTTACAGATATGGCTTATGATATGCAGACTGTTGGTTCCTTGCCTGTCAGGGAGGTAAACTCCGACTTAAAAAGAAACCCCTATTTAGTCGACTCTTACAGCGTGCTTGTTGGAAAAGGTGGGGGGGGGGGGGGTGTGAAAGTTCTATGGTTTTGTTCTTTTTCTTTGTGCAAACTGTTGGTTTCTTGCCTCTCAGGCAGATGCACTCCAGCTTTGAAGAAAACACCTCTAATTAGTCGCCTTCTACAATATGCTTGTTGGGGGGAGGGGCAGTGGCTCTTTTCTGTCTTCTCAAAATGGGGCCTCAGACCTCACACTGAGGAATACAAAGTTCAGTTCTTGTTAATTACTACGCTACTATACTTACTACTTCTAGACTTAGAGAGGTACGCTACTAGACTTACTACTACTAGACTTAGAGAGGTATGCTACTAGACTTACTACTTCTAGACTTAGAGAGGTACGCTGCTAGACTTACTACTTCTAGACTTAGAGAGGTACGCTACTAGACTTACTACTTCTAGACTTAGAGAGGTACGCTACTAGACTTACTACTTCTAGACTTAGAGAGGTACGCTACTAGACTTACTAGTCCTAGACTTACCACTTCTAGACTTAGAGAGGTACGCTACTAGACTTACTACTTCTAGACTTAGAGAGATATGCTACTAGACTTACTACTTCTAGACTTAGAGAGGTACGCTACTAGACTTACTACTTCTAGACTTAGAGAGGTACGCTACTAGACTTACTACTTCTAGACTTAGAGAGGTATGCTACTAGACTTACTACTTCTAGACAGAGAGGTACGCTACTAGACTTACTACTTCTAGACTTAGAGAGGTATGCTACTAGACTTACTACTTCTAGACTTAGAGAGGTATGCTACTAGACTTACTACTTCTAGACAGAGAGGTACGCTACTAGACTTACTACTTCTAGACTTAGAGAGGTACGCTACTAGACTTACTACTTCTAGACTTAGAGAGGTATGCTGCTAGACTTACTACTTCTAGACTTAGAGAGGTACGCTACTAGACTTACTACTTCTAGACTTAGAGAGGTACGCTACTAGACTTACTACTTCTAGACTTAGAGAGGTATGCTACTAGACTTACTACTTCTAGACAGAGAGGTACGCTACTAGACTTACTACTTCTAGACTTAGAGAGGAGAAAAACTCTGCAGTCATCCTTGTGGAGATGGTACTTTGTCACTGGAGCGGAAGAAAAATCTCTGCCATAACCTCATTCTGATGGGTTCAAGATTTGTCAGGGCTGAGGTGGCCTAGATGTCAGTGCATGGGGCTTAAAGGTTAAAACTTACCACTTCCGAAGGGTTCACATCCAGGCAGTAAACCATACAACCAGCTCCCTCTCTCTCTCTCTCTCTCTCTCTCTCTCTCTCCCTCTCTCTCTCTCTCTCTCTCTCTCTTCTCTCTCTCTCTCTCTCTCTCTCTCTCTTGCTCTCTCTCATGTTAGTGTGTGTTTTCTTTCCTTGTGTGTGTGTGTTTTTTTTTAACTGCTATTCTATTTTTACCTGCTGTAACATTTACATTTCCCAGCAGTTAAATAATAAAACTACCGATTTGGTTATTGCTTTTGTGTTTTGTAATCCTTGGTTTAAGAAACTGTCTTCACATTGTCACATTAAATGAATTGATACTTCTTCACATTGTCACATTAAATGAATTGATACTTCTTCACATTGTCACATTAAATGAATTGATACTTTTTTACAGTCACATTAAATGAATTAATACTTTTTCACATTGTCAAATTAAATGAATTGATACTTCTTCACTTTTCCTGTTTGTCCTCCCCTTATGCCGCATTTTAGGGTTGACAAAAACAATAATCCACCCACTGCCTCTTAACTCGTGTGTCATAAAAGGTGACAGATTAAGGATGTGTAGATGTCTTCAGACTGTAGTCAGTGAAAATATCATCATCATCGTCAGTTGCCTTGCCGACTGGCGTGGGCGATCATGCCTCTCCATAATCTTCTATCTCCTGCAGCATGTAACAGTTCGTATGCCGACACACCTCCATGCCATGCAACAAGACTGTCAAGCATCTTCTCTCGTTGTCTTCCTCTATCCCTCCTTCCACAGATCTTTCCAGTGGTCACAACATGTTCTATTTTCTCTCTTCTCATAACATGGCCGACAAATGATGACTGTCTCCTTCTGATGTCTGTGATAAGTTGTCTTTGGGCTCCCGCCTCTTTCAAAACCTCTTGGTTGCTCTTTTTGGCTGTCCAAGGTATTCTAAGCATTCTTCTGTAAAACCAGATCTCTGAGGCCTCTAGAAATTGTTTGGCCTGCCTACCGATTGTCCAGGATTCACAGCCATATGTTAAAACTGGATGTATGTAGCAAGCAAGAATTCTTTTTCTAACTCTCAATGACAAGGATATATTGCACAAGATGTTTTTGATTTTATAAAATGCAGTTTTTGCCTGTCCTATTCTGTTTCTTGTCTCAGTTATGATTATGTGAAAGTATACAACGGGTTAAACAGAAGGGCTTTCTGTAGATTTTAGTGTTCCTTCCTGTCTTTATTAAAGTTAATGGTTTTCAGTTGGAGCCTATATTGTCTTATCAATGTCTTAAAAGATTCCCTATCAGTGCTGTCAAAAACCTTTTCTTAACCCACAAATTGAGCATGTCTTACAAGGCTGTCTCTCCTGGAGGAGCTGCAAAGCAAAATGGGGCCACATCCAGTAGACCAGACAACTAAGCTTTGTGGAAATCTGAGCATTGTTGACCTAGCACCCCATTCTGTAACCCATAATGGATTCAGCGAATGACCAGAGATTGCTGAAGAAGATGGGAAAGAAGAGTTACGATCAATCGTCATCCCCTTGTGGGTTGCAGTTTTTAGTTATTTTGAAGCCCCACCCTGGCTTTTACCGGAGGCCTTAAATATTGCTTAACGGTGAACGGGGTTTCCGGGTGGTCTCCACGGGTGATCCTCATCCACATGGTGGCACTTTGTGTTACCGGGTGTTTATCACTTGTGTGATGTCCTGGTGGGGTACAACCTACCTGCCTGCCTACCTAGAAGAAGAAGCCTACAAATCCATTATATTTAACTTCCCAACTGTATCGATGTTTACCTCTTCCTCACCAACCTTTAACAGTCACCTTCACACCGGTATTTGCTGTACATATTACTAAAAACTGTTTATAAAGAATTTGAAATACATGTATAATTATTAACTTCCCATTTGTGGGTTGTAGGGCTCCATTGAGGAGGGGAAACAAGAATAGACCCACTGTTTTCCTGACAAGCATGTGGAAGGAGCTGACTAATTGAAGGATTCTTTTGAAGTCAAAGTGCATCTCTGTTTGAGAGTGACAAGCATGTGGAAGGAGCTGACTAATTGAAGGATTCTTTTGAAGTCAAAGTGCATCTCTGTTTGAGAGGCAAGGAACCAAGAGTCTGTATAAAAAAAAGCCAGATCTGCTTGCAACACTTGGGTTCTGAAAGAAGACTAAAGCCTGTACACTGAAGAACAACCAGAACTTTCCGCCGGTTTACAGCCGGTAGATGCTTAGAAGAAGAGTAGTAGTAGTAGATTTTTACCCCACCAGGACATCACACAAGCGATAAACATCTGATGACACAAAGTGCCAACATGTGGATGAGGATCACAGTGGAGAGGTCCCAGAAACAGCGTTCAGCCATTAGACTATATTTATGGTCGGGCTATATTACGGCCCCTGGCAAGAGCCAGAGTGGGGCTTCAAAATAACGAAAAATTGCATCTCACGAGGAGATGACTGGATTTATATAGATAGATAAAAAAAATTAGAAGAGTGGCTATGTGACCTATTTATCCCCCTTGTGCACCGTCCCAGCGGCAGAGAACCAATGTTGTCCTAACTTAACCGCATATTAACGTGTTACTTCCCTTCCAAACATTTCTATTTCGTTACACATACTAATTTTTAATAATTAATAGGCATGCTTTTTTGTTGTCGCTGTTGTTAAGAAAACAACAACAGTAGAACTTCATTATTCGTTATTAATTCTTGGGGGGGGGGGGGGGGGGGGGGGGGGGGGGGGGGGGGGGGGGGGGGGGGGGGGGGGGGGGGGGGGGGGGGGGGGGGGGGGGGGTCAAATGAGGTTTTCCTCAAAATAATTAACTTAAAATGGCTGCATCTGTTCACAACCCCAAATTATGTCTATTCTTTTTTGAGAGAAAAAAAAATGTCACTAACAAATATATCTCGGCAATCATTGCAATAGCTAATATCTTCTCATCTCTTTGTAGGATGCAATTTTTCCTTTTTTGAAGCCCTATTGCCAGTGTCCGCAATATAGCCCCGCCATAAATATTTCCTAAAGGTTGAACGCGGTTTCTGGGACCTCTCCACGGATGATCCTCATCCACATGGTAGCACTTTGTGTCTTCGGGTGTTTATCACTTGTGTGATGTCCTGGTGGGGTAAAAGAAGATACAGATAGAAATCATTGCAACGCTATTTATGACAACACGCTGAAGGAGGGACGAATATTGACTTTTCGAGCGAATATTAAACAAAATGTCCATACACAAAAACACTGGACAAATTTACATATAAAAAAGACAAATATTGGAGTTCCTCTGTCTAATCTTTTTTCATTCAGCATTCCGAGCCCTTGAGATTCATTGCTGCCAATATCACCCATCTGCATTCATTTCCTTGCTTTGTGAAGA